GTGCCTGAAACCTTTTTCCACATCTGCTTCTATGGCTTTGTGTTATTCTTCAGTCCCCGTTAAAAGCAAAGCATGTTCTCCATCGCATTTTCAGCTGGGAAATAGATCCTGGTTAGAAATGGGAAGTTTGAGTTGCAGGCTTGCCATCCGGGCGGGTCCCTCGGAGGGGCTGCGCCTCCACCGCCCCGCCCCCGCTCTGGGGCCACCCGGGTCCTCGGGTGCTCCTCCCTGTGTCTCTTCACCCTCTGGTCTTGCTGGCCCATCCCACCACGCCACGTCCTGTCTCCCACCGCCCTCCGCCCCTCTGGCAGTGCCTGCATGGCCGGCGCTCTCCAGAGCAGAAGGAAGGAAGGACCGATGGTCAGGCAGCTCTGCTGGGGGCGCTCCGGCCGGGAAGGCGGCGGGAACCCTGGTGCAGGGGTAGCCGAGGCTCGGGGGCTCCGCGTCAGTAAACAGGCAAATGGCGTTTTCCTGCCGCTTTTGGTGGATTTTTAGGACTCTGCGTCCGTGTGCCCTGTTGTTCCTGACAGTAGCCTGCCAGGGTGGCCCAGTGCCCACCATAGAGGGCACAGGTCAGTTTGTGGACTGATGGGCAACCAGGCTGAGCCAGGCAAAGTGGGGAGTCCCATCCCAAACCCCGAACTCCAGCGTCTGGGCCATGTGCAGCGCTGGGACACCGTAGCTCTGGACATGCATTTGCGGTCGCTGCTACTCTCATGTCTTGATTTGCCCAGGACATGCTGGCAGGTGACTGTGCTGTGGAGGCCTGGACAGGAAGGCAGGCCGCCCCGTGCTCTGGGAGCTCAGAATCCAGTGGAAGTCTCTGCCCAGGGAAGACGCAGAATCTGGAGGTGGCATTGCCCATTTTACCCGCACCCTTGGTGACAGCTGCACCCCGGCTTCTGGGGACCCCGGGTCCCAAGGGTACCTCACTGTCCCGTCTTCCTGGTCACTGTCCTGTGGCATTGCTTTGGGCTGTGCTGGTCACCCCAGTAGCAGGGCCGTGTCCAGGGAACAGGGAGGCCTCAAGTGCCCCCTGACCTGCTGCCAGGGACGCGGCCCCTCCCTTACCGCCCCCACACCCCAGGGCTGTCACCTGTCCCAGCCTGCTGCTCCAAGCTTAGCGTGTTAAAATGTGTTTTCTACGTCTTGACAGCGCGCAAAGCGCGAGATCGCCATGGAAACTGAGCTCCTCAGAATTCCTGTGGCTGTCCTAATTATAGAATCTCAAAGGAACTCACAGAGCCCCTTGAGATTGTCAGAGTTAAGGCTGAAAGAGGGGTAGTGGCCCTTGTGTTCCCCACAATTTTGTTCCCTATTTGCCTCAGTGGAGCCTGGCACCCAGAGAGGTGGCAGGATGGGGTCCCCAGTGGGCATGTGACATTGAGCCAGCTCTGATTCTAGAGCCAGGTCTCTCCTGCCACAGTCAGTGCTCAGCCTGACCCACGCGGCTGTGCCATCCACTGTGTGGGGTGCATTGTGGGAGACCCCAGGCTGTGTCCAGACACACCCCTGAAGGGGCTCCTGCTAACCTGGGCTTGTCTTTGGGACCCTTTTCCACAGAGGTGGCCAGGGGGCTGCGCAGTGCTGGGCCCACAGCCTCCTCGAAGTGGAACCTGGGGGCCAGGGGCTATTCTCAGAGCGTGCTCCCCGGATGGGCTGAGTGCCCGCGTGCCCTTCTTCTTTTCACAGCGCTGACTGTTGCTTAGGTCAGGAATAGGCCTGTCACTTTCCAGACAGAAACCCAAACGCTGAAGATGCGACTGTGACCTTTGAGGGGCAAGGCCTGCCAGGTCCCCCCAGCATCCCCATCTGCAGACCTAGAAAGGCAGAATGGCTGCCAGCCCGTGTGTCCAGGCCCCCTGTACTTGGGGAACCTTCTAGTCAGTTGTCTGAAGTTAGAGAGTTGGGGGGGTTTTCGTGGTTGCTTATTTTGGCAGTTGCAGAATCCCCCCAAAAGGTAGGAATGTGGATTTTTCAAGGAAGGTGCTGCTTTGACTCAGAAGCTAAGGAGGCTCTGAGAGCAGTCTCGCCTTGAGACAAACATCAGGCCAGTCCCAACGGAGGGGCGTCCTGCAGGCACCCGGCCTGCACTCAGAACTGTCACAGCCAGAAAACAAGGGAAGTCTGAGGAATTCACAGAGCAGCAGGGCCGTGAGCCAGGACACGGAGACACGTGGGCTCCCGGACAAGGAAGGACGGGGACACTTGAGTTCGCCCCGGTGGGGACTGGGGACGCCAGGCTGTGTGCTGTGGCCCCTGGGAGAGTTTGTTCACCCTGCTGGGGGCTGCCTGATGAGCCTGGCATCTACTAGGACATCACTGAGTCTCTTTACTGATTGAACCTGAAGGTGTCCAGTTGGCGCATTTTCAGAATTTCCCAGGGGCACTGGGGGTGGGTCCCACGTGTCCTCGTCCGGCCTGCTAGGTACAGAGCTGTGTGTCCGTCCCTCCGCTCCGCCCCTCGGCCATGGCCCCGCCCCTTGGCACCACCCCCAGGCTGTGTGTGTACAGCCCTCTGCTGTCCCCGAGCTGTGCGTCCGGCCCTCGGCTCCGCCCCTGGCTGCGTGTTCGACCCTCGGCTCCGCCCCCGGCTGTGCATCCCACCCTCAGCTCCGCCCCCGGCTGCATGTTCGACCCTCGGCTCCGCCCCCGGCTGTGCATCCCACCCTCAGCTCCGCCCCCGGCTGCATGTTCGACCCTCGGCTCCGCCCCCGGCTGTGCATCCCACCCTCAGCTCCGCCCCCGGCTGCATGTTCGACCCTCGGCTCCGCCCCCGGCTGTGCATCCCACCCTCAGCTCCGCACCCGGATGCATGTTCGTCCCTCGGCTCCGCCCCCAGCTGTGCATCCCGCCTTCGGCTCCGCCCCAGCTGTGCGTGCCGCCTTTGGCTCCGCCCCCCGGCTGTGCGTGCCGCCTTAGGCTCCACCCCTGGCTGTGCGTGCCGCCTTCGGCTCCGCCCCCAAGCTGTGCGTCCCGCCTCCGGCTTCGCCCCCGGCTGTGCGTCCCGCCTTCGGCTCCGCCCCCAGGCCGTGCGTTCCGCCTTTGGCTCCGCCCCCAGGCCGTGCGTTCCGCCTTCGGCTTCGCCCCCGGCTGTGCGTACCGCCTTTGGCTCCGCCCCCAGGTTGTGCGTGCCGCCTTCGGCTCCGCCCCTGGCTGTGCGTGCCGCCTTCAGCTCCGCCCCCGGCTGTGCGTGTCGCTTTCGGCTCCGCCCCCAGGTTGTGCGTGCCGCCTCTGGCTTCGCCCCCGGCTGTGCGTCCCGCCTTCGGCTCCGCCCCCAGGCTGTGCGTTCCGCCTTCGGCTCCGTCCCCAGGCTGTGCGTGCCGCCTTCGGCTCCGTCCCCGGCTGTGCGTGCCGCCTTCGGCTCCGCCCCCCGGCTGTGCGTGCCGCCTTCGGCTCCGCCCCCTGGCTGTGCGTGCCGCCTTCGGCTCCGTCCCCGGCTGTGCGTGCCGCCTTCGGCTCCGCCTCCGGTTGTGCGTGCCGCCTTCGGCTCCGCCCCCTGGCCGTGCGTGCCGCCTTCGGCTCCGCCCCCTGGCCGTGCGTGCCGCCTTCGGCTCCGCCCCCCGGCTGCGCGACCTCGCCGTCTGTGGCCCGCAGCGCCTGTCTCCTCCGCTCCACACGGTTCTCTCTTTTCAGAGACGGTTGGCGGGGCACGGGCGCCTCCCGAGGGGACGGTCAGACCTGCGGACACGTGGAGCCGGACCTGCCGTGGGCTGGTCAGGGCAAGACGTCGTGGGCAGAGCCACGTGGGGGCTCACCCGACCTCCTCGGGGCTGACAGTGGCCGCTTCCGGGGCTGCGCCTCGTGCGGAGCCCAGGCCTGGCGCCAGGTGGGTGGAGGGCGGAAGGGGCACAGGCTGCACGGCCCAGCCTGCCCTCCGGTCTCTGCGAGTCGCGCCTGTGTCGCCAGGCCTCTGTCGATGCCGCCCTGTGCCCGGGGCGTCGGGACCCCTGCTGCGGAGGGCCACGTGGGCCTAGTGCCCCCGCGCGCCCGAGGACCGGCGACTTCGGGTTTCGCGCTGAATCTCCCGTTTAGAGGAAGAGGAGCAGGTTTCCCCTCCGTGTGACCTGGTTCCAGCGGTTTCCAGCCAGAGCTAGTCATTCGCTTGTTTTAAAAACATTCCCTTGCAGTTTACACTTCGGTGTGTTCGTGGCACTCTCATTCGGGTCATGAAAGTCGCTTTTATGATGGAATTTTATAAAAGCACAAAGCCGCCCGTTGTATGTGTTTCTGAAGATTCTGTTTACACGCACATTCGTTTCAAAGTGTTTTGGAGGCGCGAAGGGAGACCCGGTTACAAGCAGGGACGAGACCAGCCTTCTGGTTACGCGCTTTTCGGAAGCAGCGCGGTCCGCGTGGGCCGACTGTCAGATGCGGGTTAGAACGGTGATGTTTCTGGTAACTTGCGAATGGAAACGAGTAGGCAGTGGGGCTTGGCTCTCCTGCCCTGAGATTTATTAGGTTAAAGGAAACCTGACTGGGGAGCCCGGGCCTCGCGCCGCCTGAGTCTGGCGAGTTGCTGAAGTCAGCGGCGCTCTGTGTCTTAGGCTGGCTCAGGCCCCAGCTTGCCGTCCACTCTCCCTCCTCTGACAGTCATGTGTAAATATCGAGGCCCATTTGAACTGTCCCTGTGTAGAAAAAAGGCCTGTTTTTCTTGGGGCCGCCTGGGGAGAAGGGGGGTGGAGAGGAAAACAGGCGGAGGGCATACGGGCCAGCCTGTGCTGGCCTGGGGCGACTTCACGGTTCCGCAGTCAGTGAGCCGCCGTAAGGACCCCAGCTCCGTCCTCACCTGGGCCACTGTCCGCAGCCACTGAGGCCATGACACCGTGAGGATCATGTGAGGAGAGGCAGAGAGAGGCCCCTGGAGGCCGTCGTTCCAGCCCTGCCTTCCCAGCCTGGGAGGACGTTTCGGCCACCACCGAGTGGCCTGTCCCGGCGGCACCCTGTGTGGGCTTGTGGCCGAGACCTGTTTCTTTATGCCTTTCTCTTGTCCCTTCCAGAATCCATCTACCGCCGGGGAGCCAGAAGATGGAGAAAGCTGTACCGTGCCAACGGCCATCTCTTCCAAGCCAAGCGCTTTAACAGGGTGAGTGTCCTGGGGCTGGTCCCTCAAGGGGCCTTTTGTTACCTTTAAAAGCAGAGAGAGAGGAGGGGAGGCACGTCCTGCTGAGCCCAGGCTGGGCTCTTTTTGGTGCCTGAGGGCAGGGTTACAGAAATGCTTTCTCTGGTGCAGGATGGGGCCTTGGCTAGGGCTGTCTGAGGCGGGAAGTGCCCTCTGGGCCTTTCCCTGCATGGAGGCTGCCCAGTGAATGGCGTCTGCGTCTGCCTGGCTGTGTGACTCTTACCAGGGCTCAGAGCACAGTCACTGGCCTGAGGCCCCAGCCTGCCTGCATCCAGAGTAGGGTGGCCACACTCCACATGAAGTGCCAGGTACATGTTCCTGGCTGCACACAGGGTTTCCTGTCGGCGGCAAGGGTCTCCGGGAGCCCCGGAAGCTCCTTCAGCCGCCATCCCTGCTTGGCCCTCTGTCTTTCAACCGGCCACCCACAGGGGCCCTTTACGTAGGATGCTTAGGTGACTTCCCTTATTCCTCGTCGTGCTGTTTTTCTAGTTCCTACTGAATGGGTGATTCAGATGCTTTTGTAATTGTTCCATTTCACAGTGGAAGGCGAGGTGTCTGTGGTGCCTTGCTGTCGTTGGAGTTTGTCCCACACGGGGACTGACTTGGGGGTGCGTGGAAGTGTACAGGGCCTGTCCCCACTGTGGGATTCCACACAGAGCACCCCACGGCCCCTCACATGCCACCGCCCAGTCAGCCCTGTGCCTCCTGCAGTCTGTCCCCATGACAGGCGGCTGCCAGCCCAGCCGTCTCCAGCCCAGTGAGGCACTGAGGCTGCTGCGTGCTGGTTCAGTCCCAGCCTCGCTGCTTCCTCTGTCTCCACCCCACCCTCCCTATGCTCAGTGGCAGGAGGGTTCACGGACATGTCGCTGTGAGAGAGCTTCGTGGAGGCTGCCCGGTTGTCAGGAGTGGTGGCCCTGGGGTTACCTTTGCATTCCACGCCCACCTGCCACGTGGTCTCACATGTCAGCCTCCACTGGGCATCTGGCCCCTCCATCTCCCGGAGTGCCCTCAGGTCACCTGCCCCTCTTTCTACTCCCATGGTCAGCCCTCTAGACTACCAGGCAGTTCTGTGCATGTGAGCCACGCCTCCCCACTGTTTGTGCGGTCCCCATCATGTGGCAAGAGTGGGTCTGGACTCCATCCCTCTTTGGGCTGACCCAGGCAGAGATGCACGATGAGCTCCTGAGTGACTGAAGTGGAGTGTGGAGGGAACTAGCCTCCAGGAGATGAGCAGGCCGGTGCTGGGAAGGCCTCGGCATTGCCCGGAGAGCCGAGAGGACTTCCTGGAGGAGGAGGCATCTGATCACACTGCCCGGGAGGTCAGTGCAGAGGAGATGCCCGTAGTACCAAGAATGTGGCAGGCACGGGAGAGTTCTGCCAGTGTCCAGGAGGCCCTGAGGATGAGGTTGGGGACACCAGCATGTGAAGAGCCTAGGTGGCTGTGTGCTTAGGGCAAGTGGGTGTGGGTGAACAGGCAGCCTGGCCCAGGCTGGCACTCAGGAGAGTGTGGCTGGAGGTGGCCACATTGGGGGTGTCTGTGGAGAATAGTACCAGGGAGGGTTGCAGCATGGAGATCTGTCGGCACCCCAGTCCACCCTGGCCGCCTTCTCTGAGGACACACAGTGTGAGCTTCCCAGGGCTGCAGAACAGAGCACCACTAACTGGCGGCTTAAATCACAGAAACTTGCCGTCCAGCAGTTGGGGGCCAGAAGTCCGGGGCAAAGGTACCTTTATTAGTCAGGGCTCTCCAGAGGGACAGAAGCGATGGGATGGGTATACGTGAAAGGAGTTTATTGGGGAGACAAGGCGAAGTCCCACGATAGGCTGTCTGGCAGGCTGGGGAAGAAGGAAGTCAGCGGTGGCTCATTCCGAGTCCAAAAGCCTCAAAAGCAGGGAAGTCAACACTGCAGGCCCCAGAACACCCCAGCAAACCACTGGTGTAAGTCCCAGAGTCCAGACGCTGAAGAACCTGCAGTCTGACGTCCAAGGGCAGGACGCACGGCAGGAAGCATCCAGCACAGGGGAACCGTGAGAGCCGGAGACTCAGCAGGCCGCTCCTCCCGCCCGCTTCCGCGTGCTCCTGCTTCAGGAGAGTGTGGCTGGAGGTGGCCACACTTCTAGCCCCCAACTGTGACTAGACGGTGCCCACCCACACTGAGGGTGGGTCTTGCTGTTCCAGTCCACTGACTCAAATGTCAGTCTCCTGGTGGCACCCTCAGACACACCTGGAAGCAGTATGTCACCAGTTCTCTAGGTGACATTACCCACCACGGTGCCACAGCACTGCGAGCTCCTTCCCCCACAACCTCTGGGATCTGCACACAGCATTGTTCCCAGGCTTACAGAGAAACCACTCAGCCTCCTCCTGTTGCACGTGGCCTGAGTGAACCCTGCCCACCCAGTGACACGGGCCAGGGCTCCAGGCAGCGCAGGGTGCTGGCCTTTGATCGAGCAGCTTTTAGGAGAAAAGTCTGTTCTGCCGATGGCCGGTGCAGACCATAAGTGACTCTCCCCACTGCCAGGAGCAAAAGCTTTTCTTTCTGGACACTGGAGAAGTGGGTGGCAGGTGGACCCACCGCAGCCCTGCTCTGCTGTGGAAGTGCAGCCCTCCCGGGCGCATGGACAAGCCAGTTTCACAAACACAGAGGCTGGGGCGACATGGGGCAAAAGCCTGCAGCAGGGAGGGCAGCTGCCCTGCGGCTCAGCCCGCCCCGTTCCCCTCGATTGTGCCCGGGCTCTGATCTCCCCTCCTGCCAGTGATGTTCTCTGCCCAGACCTCAGAGCTGCTCCGTGTGGCGCTCACTTCGTGTTAATTGCAGGACCGCTCAGATCACCTCCACTGTCACTTAAAAGGGGCATTTCAGGAGGGACGCGTTCGGTTTTGTGTGAATCAGCAAGACTTAAAGGGGAACAAGCACCCGGGAGGACTTTTCCATGCCCTTTGTTGGTGAGCTGAGGATGAAAGAGTGGGTGTCAGTCGCTTGGGACTGGGGCTCCCTGCCTGGGTCTTTGTATGGACTTGAAATGACTGTCCTTGGACCATAGAAGGAAGCGCTCAGTGGGGAGCCAAAGGCAGAGAGCCAGCGAGGCTCTGGAGGCGGAGGTGAGGAGGGGCTGCCTCCTCCCTGTGAGGGACGGTGCTGGGGGACAGGGAAGCCCACTCAGTGGGACAGAGCTGCTGGGTCGGAGCTGGCCCTGGGCTCCTGGGGCCGGGCACGTCCTGTAGAGGAGGTGGGAGGGGATCCCCCAGTAAATCCTGAGGAGGCAATTGGTTAATTATTGGCCCCAGAACGGGGTGCGGAGCGGGGAGGTGGGCAGAAATCCAGGCTGCTGGCTCCCATCACGGTAAACCTGCATGTGGATTGAAGTTAAAAAAAATTGGGCCCGGCAAGGTGGCTCACACCTATAATCACAAAACTTTGGGTGGCCGAGGTGAGTGGATCGCTTAAAGCCAGGAGTTCGAGATCCACCTGGCCAGCATGGTGAAACCCCATCTCCACTACAAATACGGAAGTTAGTTGTGGTGCTGTGTGCCTGTAATCCCAGCTCCTCAGGAGTCTGATGCAGGAGAATCGCTTGAACCCAGGCGGTGAGGGTTACAGTGAGCTGACATTGTGCCGCTGGGTGACAGAGTGAGACTACGTCTCAAATAAACAAAAGATAAACCTAGAAGCCGCACAGATCTCTGCAGCAGAACTTGGCAGTGAGGGCCAGAGGGTCTCACTCAGCCACACGGACCTCTCGATTTTTTTACTTTCCAAATTATGTCCAAAAAAACTCACAGGAAAAGTGTTTGTAGCACGTAAAACCCAGAAGAGATCCGAGCAACTCACACTTCGGATTGAAGAGCTCGTACACAAGGGCTTTGGTGGATGCTGGGACTGAGGAGCTGAGCACGGGTGTGAGCGACTGATGAAAGAAGACCGATGGTTTATAGATGAGGACAGCTTGACCACAGGTGACCGAGGAAACACATGACGTTTCCTCTGTCAGTATCGAAGATGTTACAAGTAATTAAAGCCTAGGGTTGCTGTCATGGGGTCTGCCAACCCTGGGGATGTGAGGTAGACACGGACCCTACTCTCTGGAAATCACACAGGAAATGTGCGGCCTCTCTTCAAAGAAATCGCTCGTCATTGGGAGATTTGTGTTTGGGGAAGATCAGCTCAGCGTTGTTTTTACAAGCAAGAGTGGGAATCGTGTCTGGAGTTAACTGCTCCCTTTGCTGTGAACAAACCACTCCATCATGTGAGGTATAAACCATGGTGGACCACGTCTCTGAGCTGTGGCTGCTGGAGAGCCGCCTCTGCTGGTGGCACACAGGCCACGAGTGCCACAGGGACAGCTCTGCTGGTGGCACACAGGCCACGAGTGGTGGCCCAGAGAGTGGTAGCACAGAGAGCCCTCTCTGCTGGTGGCACACAGGCCACGAGTGCCACAGTGCCACAGCTGGATGGGCGGCCCAGGACTTTGGCCTTTACCATGAGTGGACAGAGGAGTGACCACTTGGGTCCCTGGAGAAGAAGAGGCTGTAGAGGGTGAGGGTGGGGAAGGGAAGTGAGAAGATGCCACCCAGGAGCAGCAGTGCCTGTCAGGCTTGGTCCAAGCAGTGCCCTCAGGTGGCTGGCAGAGGCCACCACAGTTCCTCTTCAAGCCAGCCTCAAAGAATTCCCTCTGATAAATGAATCGGGCATCTGAGCTCGCAGTTGAAAACCACAGAACACAGTGGGAAGCAGGCTATCTTGGGCCCGAGCTGGCAAAAGCCCAGATGGGGGCTCCAACCAGCAGAATAGGTAAACATGTGGTGTCTAAAGCATGGAAATGGGGCACTGAAAATATGAGCAGGGAGGCCGGGTGCGGTGGCTCATGCCTGTAATCCCAGCACTTTGGGAGGTCAAGTCAGGCAGATTACCTGAGGTCAGGAGTTCACGACCAGCCTGGCCAACATGGTGAAACCTCATCACTACTAAAAATACAAAAATTAGCTGGGTGTGGTAGCAGGTGCCCATCATCCCAGCTACTCGGGAGGCTGAGACTGGAGAGTCACTTGAACTCGGGAGGCAGAGGTTGCAGTGAGCCGAGATCATGCCACTCCACTCCAGCCTGGGGACAGAGCAAGACTGCCTCAGAAAAAAAGAAGAAAGAAAATAAGAGCAGGGAACAAGTTGGCAGCGTGTAAAACAGACTTAAACATTTTTACCATTAGGCTGTGAATTCCTGTACGTTTCTGGGAGTGGAAACTTGGAGTTCAGGTTTTATTTTCTTAAGGTCACGTTTCTTGAAATGTTGCTAATTGAAATGTAGGTTCGAAACAAGAGCCTTTGACAGAGCTTGGGCAGCCTCACCTGCAAAGCACACACGAGGTCTCTGGCAGGCAGCAGCCCTCGACAGACCGACGCTGCCCTTGGCAGCAGTTCTCCTGGCCTGACCCCAGCTAAGGGTGGCTGCCCACAGAAAGGAACCTGGTCAGTTTTTTTGTTTGTTTGGGATTGTTTTTTTTTTTTTTTTGAGACACAGTCTCACTCTGCCAGGCTGAAGTGCAGTGGCGTGATCTCAGCTCACTGCAACCTCTGCTTCCCAGGTTCGAGCAGTTCTCCTGCCTCAGCCTCCTCAGCGGCTGGGATTACAGGTGCCGCCACCATGCCCGGCTAATTTTTGTATTTTAGTAGAGATGGGGTTTCGCCATGTTGGCCAGGCTTGCTTGAACTCCTCACCTCAAGTGATCGACCTGCCTCGGCCTCCCGCAAAGTGCTGGGATTACAGGCATGAGCCACTGCACCCGACCAACCTTGCTTAATTGGTAAAGACACCTGGTGGCTGGGAATTTGGTCTTAAATAGGACCCTAGTATTGCAGAGTAAGATGTTAAATGGTGACCAAGAGAAAGCCGAGAACGTTAGGCACGTTATGGCCAAAAAACCTTGATTTTTAAATAACGGCATTAGAAATGGAAGCTGGTGTTCTGCACTGTGGAAACAGGAGGGTGGAGCAGGTCTGCACAGCCAAAGTGACCTTTCACTCCAGGGTCCCCACATCCAGCGGCCGAAGTGACCCTTTCACTCCAGGGTCCCCACATCCAGTGGCTGAAGCGCCTCCTTTCACTCCAGGGTCCCTGCATTCAGCAGGTGCCGACTGGGGCAAAACTCCTGATGCCAGCATTAAGCTAGATTGGCCCCAAGTTGGATGTCTTGGGTGGGATGCCCCTCCCCCCTCCCTCATTCAGATAGAGTGCACAGTCCTGGCCTGGCTCTGCCATGGGTGGGCTGATGTAGGTGGCATGTGCCAAGGATGTGCAGCCAGCTCATTTTCCTGTTACGGAAGTTGAAAGTGATGGTGAGTGCGTGTTTTCTTGCCTGGTGCCCACTGTGTGCTGGGCACTGTCCTAGGTGCTAGTCACACTGTGGGGAAGAGTCCCCAGGGGCTGGTGTCCCAAGCAGGCTCTTATTGATAGCAGAAGGGTCCCATACGGGGCATGGGCCCTGTTTGCTCAGCTGCACTTGACGCCTGCATGTGCTGAGGGTCCCCGCGTCTTCACATGAATTCAGTTCAGTGTGTCCCTGCTTCCTAACTCGAGAGTGAAGGGATACTGTCTAATGGGAAGGAAATTCGTGAAAAATGGTAAAGTAGGGAAAAGTGTATGAAAGGTTGTCTGGAAAAAATCTAAATTGGAGACTCTGGGTACGTGGTGACAGTGCAGATGCGCCCCTAAACTGCCAGGACCCCTTCGGGCACTTGGGCAAGGCAGCAAACACCCAGGCAGGTCCCAACAACATTCGTTTTCGTAGTTTTTGTAACGTTTAAACATTCATGAAAACAACACCAAACAAGCTGATAATCACTGTCATTTTTGAATTGTTTAGAACCATGAAGAATAAAGAAGGATCGTTTTAAATCTTGAAAAATACTGAACAAAGAATACTGAGATAATTGCAGGCTGCCATGTAGCGGTTCAAGATGTTCATGAGTCCGAGTTTGCCTTCTCTGAGGCTGTTGGGAGGAGGTTGTGTCTGAACGAACACCAAGCAGGGGGCACCGCCCACACTCTGCTCAGCCATAGACGGGACCCCAGGTCCCTAGACAGGACTCCAGGCCGCTGTACGCAGAGCAGGGCAGGAGCTGCAGCCCCCAGCCTCTGCAAGCCAGGGGGCCTTGCCTGAGGCAGCGCCTGCTCTATGTGAGGGGACACGGGAGGACTTCTGCCTGTGGGACCACCCCTGCGTCCCCTCACACACAGCAAGGTTCCAGGCCTCCTCTTGGGGCCGTTGGTTCCCCCAGCCTTGGCATGGACCCAAGAGGGGACTACTGAGCTCTGGCCAGCCTGGCGCCTGAAAGGGACAAGGGACCGGGGCCACCTGTGGCCCGGCTCAGTGTCCTCTCTTGAGAAGGCACAGGTGTGGAAGACCCTGCCTGGCCCCTCCGCGTGGCCTGGGCCTGACGTTCTGTTCCTGTCTGCAGAGAGCGTACTGCGGCCAGTGCAGTGAGAGGATATGGGGCCTCGCGAAGCAAGGTTACAGGTGCATCAACTGCAAACTGCTGGTCCATAAGCGCTGCCACGGCCTCGTCCCGCTGACCTGCAGGAGGCATATGGTGAGTGTCCGGGCTGAGGAGCCCCTGGGGAGCGCAGGCAGGGCCGGGGTGTGGCCGCCAGCCCACCGTCCAAGCTGACCTTGGCGACCCTGGGTTCCTCAAGAGGGGCTGTGGTGTGTCCTGTCTCCCGGCTGCAGCGTGAGGCGAGGCGGCAGTCTCGGGTAGGACCGTCTTCCTGAGCCCCCACGAGCCCCTGGCACCCTCTGCTCAGTGGGGCAGGGGTAGGGTTCATTCATACTCCAGTCCTGCACCAGCTTTTGGGGCTATGGAGGTGAGAGCCAGATCTGACCCAGTCGCACTGGGCACGCCAAGAGGCTCCGAACGTCTGGAGCCCCTCCCTGGCATCCTCCTTGGGAAGCCATGCCCAGCCTGTGATGAGGTCGGCACCTTCCCTCCCCTGTCCCTGAGTGTTTGCACTTGAAGCATCCAGGCCTTTTGGGGCCTGGTTGACCTTGCCTTACTGAGTCCTCAGGCCGTGTCTGGGATTTCTGTGTGACCCACTGCGTCTCACTGAACCCCGGGGCCTCGGCCTGGACTGAGCATTAACCCACTGGGCCCGCTGCAGCGTGCGGGAAAGGTGGCTTGTCTGCAGTGTGCGGGGGCAGGTGTCCAGGGAGGGTGGCTTGTCTGCAGTGTGTGGGGGGAGTGGCCAGGGAGGGTGGCTTGTCTACAGTGTGCGGGGGGAGGGGCAGGGAGGGTGGCTTGTCTACAGTGTGCGGGGTCGGGGGGAGGGGGCGTCCAGGGAGGGTGGCTTGTCTGCAGTGTGCGGGGGGAGGGCGCTCCAGGGAGGGTGGCTTGTCTGCAGGTACGAGGCGGGGGGTTTCCAGGGAGGGTGGCTTGTCTGCAGTGTGTGGAGGTGGTGTGTCGGGGAGGGTGGCTTGTCTGCATCTTGCTGCAGCATAGGAGGAAAGGTGCTTTCGGGGGTGACGTGCCCTCTCTTCTGTTACGGGACAATGACAGAGTCCAGATAGGGGTGTCACCCCAGGATCGCCAGGCACAGGGATGGGGGCCACACATGCCTTGGCATAGTCCTTCCAGGGGTCCTTTAGCTGCATCTGCCGAAAAGCCTGCCATGTCCTTTGACCCCATAGGTCTGCTTTAGCGTAAGCAAATGAGAGACCAACCCCAGATGTGGCCTGCTAGAGGTGAAGGGAGGCCAGCGCCTGCCACCCAACTGACCACTCACAGGGGTGGCTCCATAGTGACTCATCTGCAGGCGGGACCCAGAGGCCCTTAGGTTGGCCCTCGGATGCCTGGTTACGGACAAGATGCAGCACTGGGACGGGGGGTTACCACTTACTGTGCAAAATGTCCCGTTTATGAAGCACGTGCTGGAAAGGTCATGACCTACAGTACTGAGTGGTCGCCTCTGTCTGTAGAATCGTAGGTAACGTTTCTGTTCTTCACGGATTTGGTGCGATAGAGTACCAATTATATTCTTTTTTTGTTTTACTTTTTTTTTTTTTTTTTTTTTTTTTTTTTGAGACGGAGTTTTGCTTTTGTTACCCAGGCTGGAGTGCAATGGCGCGATCTCGGCTCACCGCAACCTCCGCCTCCTGGGTTCAAGCAATTCTCCTGCCTCAGCCTCCTGAGTAGCTGGGATTACAGGCACGCACCACCATGCCCAGCTAATTTTTTGTACTTTTAGTAGAGACGGGGTTTCACCATGTTGACCAGGATGGTCTTGATCTCTCGACCTTGTGATCCACCCGCCTCGGCCTCCCAAAGTGCTGGGATTACAGGCTTGAGCCACCGCGCCCGGCCTTTTTTTTTTTTTTAAGATGGGATTTCACCATCTTGGTCAGGCTGGTCTTGAACTCCCGACCGCAGGTGATCCACCCGTGTTAGCCTCAAAAGTGCTTGGATTACAGGCATGAGCCACCACGCCTTGCCACAATTACATTCTTACACACTGTGTTACAATATACCCATTGTAATATGTAAATACGTAAATCATAGAAAGTTTTGAAGTGGGCAGATGCGGTGGCCCACACCTGTAATCCCAAGTTTGGGGTCTGGGGTGTGAGGATCACTTGAGGCCAGGAGTTCAAGACCAGCCTGAGCAACATGGTGAGACCCCATTTGTACAAAAAATACAAAAATTAGCCGGGTGTGGTGGTGCACACCTGTAGTCCTAGCTACTCTGCAAGCTGAGGCGGGAGGATTGCTTGGGCTCAGGAGGTTGAAGCTGCAGTGAGCCGTGATTGTGCCACTGCACTCCAGCCGGGACGATGACAAAGTGTGGCCTTGTCTGTAAAATGTTTTTTAATTACAAAAAGTCACAAAGTGTTTATAGAAGCTGTTCCAGCACCCAGTCACACTGCCATCTCTCCGTCTCTCTGCCAGGATTCTGTCATGCCTTCCCAAGAACCTCCAGTAGACGACAAGAACGAGGACGCGGACCTTCCTTCCGAGGAGACAGATGGAAGTAGGTGCTGCTCCCTTCTGCTGGGTGGAGCCTGGGCGTTGCCTCACCCAAACAAAACCTCACAACACTGCTCACAGCTGCCTCTGGCCACAAGTCCTTTCTCAGGCCCGTCTCCTCTACAGGGGTCATTGTCTGAAAGCCTGGCCACCCTTCCCCGAGGCTGGGAACAGGGCTCTCCAGGGCCGCCTCTCAATCCCCGGCAGAGACGGGCAGGGCACGCTGGCCCTCCCTGAAGGCTGCTGGACAGGGATGCTTCCGTGAGGCGCTGTTGTGGGAGCCTGGGGGTGCAGTCTCTTGCCATACACCAGCTCCGGGGTTCTCAAAGGCACTTAGCACAGCGGCCACCACTGGGCACTTCCACAGCCTGGCTGCTGCACAGAGCTGAGCCCTGTCTGGAGAAAGGCTGGCGAGGCGGCTGCTACGCACACAGCGTGGCCGGGGCACGGTCCTTGGAGTTTTATGAGGTTTTGTTTGGGGGTGGGGTGGGGTGCTTTTATGCTAAGAAGCATTCAGAGATCTCAAACACCAGTTGAACGCACAGCCCCGCTCTGGGCCTCCAGACCTGCACCACCGCACCAGGTGCGAGAGCCTCACTTTCACTTGACGCATGTGAGTTCTGTCCTGTTGGGAGCCTGGAAGGACATATGAGACCACAGAACAGAAAAGACTCAAGTGCACTCAGTGCCTCACAGAAAAGTTGCCTCACAAACAACTGCCTGCCCACCCGCCCTCCACCCACCATTCTCTGTACATATATATATCCATACCTGAGGCGTGCATGCATCCATCCATTCTCCATACTCTATCCTCCATCCTCCATCCATCCTCCATCTATCCATCCTCCATCCTCCATCTACCCATCATCCATCCATCCATCCTCCATCCATTCATCTTCCATCCTCCATCCATCCATCCTCCATCCATCCTCCATCCATCCATTCATCCATCTATCCATTCATCCTCCATCCATCCATCCATCCATCCTCCATCCATCCATCCATCCATCCTCCATCCTCTATCCGTTCATCCTCCATCCTCCATCCATCCATCCTCCATCCATCATCCATCTATCCATCCTCCATCCTCCATCTATCCATCCTCCATCCATCCATCCATCCTCCATCCATTCATCTTCCATCCTCCATCCATCCATCCTCCATCCATTCATCTTCCATCCTCCATCCATCCATCCTCCATCCATCCATTCATCTTCCATCCTCCATCCATCCATCCTCCATCCATCCATTCATCCATCTATCCATTCATCCTCCATCCATCCATCCATCCTCCATCCATCCATCCATCCTCCATCCTCTATCCGTTCATCCTCCATCCTCCATCCATCCATCCTCCATCCATCCATCCTCCATCCATCCTCCATCTATCCATCCTCCATCCATCCATCCATCCATCCTCCATCCATCCATCCATCCTCCATCCATCCATTCTCTAACATACATACTTCCATACCTCATCCATCCACCCACCTAGCCATCCGGCAGCCTTCAGTCAGCCATCCTCCAGCCATCTTCCGCCCATCCACCTGTTGTCCACACACCTCTCCATTTTTCCATCTTCCGTCCATGCGTCCATTCATCCTCCCATCTAGTCATCCTCCATCCATCCACTCCTGCCCCCACCCACCCGTTCTCCAGACACCAAAATCTGATGACTAATTATCTGCTGATGCACCCTTGGGGATGTATGTCACAAATGTACATCTCCAGGTCCCCTGGTCAGAGTCAGCAGGTCTGGGTGGGGCCCAGGAAACTGCATTTTCAGAAGCCTCTAAACTGGAGCCAGACTCGGCTGCTGTGTAGAGTCACTGGGCAGCGCCTCCCTGCGGCGGAGCGAGGCCCAGGGGTCGCTGTGTTGCCAGCGTGTTCCTGACGGCACCCGTAACGCCCCTTCCTTCCTTCCTCTCTCACCAGTTGCTTACATTTCCTCATCCCGGAAACATGACAGCATCAAAGACGACTCCGAGGTGAGTGTGAAGCAGCTCGCTACCATTTCTGACGTTCTCCGGAACAGCCGTGGAAATCTAGATGTGAAGTAGACTCGGTCCGGGACACCGCTGACCTTCACAGCAGAAGCGGAGGGGTGTCTAGAAGGAAGTCCTTATTCTTGGGTCTTGCTTCAGGCACATCCTTGATGAATCCCTGGAGGCAGCTGTCCCCGAAGGCGTTCTGGGGACCACACACTGGGGGCAAGCTGTGTCCCTGCACCCTCTTCACCCAGGCGGTGCGCTGGCTTCTGAGCTGCAGCTTGTATCAAGTTGTGTATGCACCACCACCCAAAGCTGCCTCATTCGGCCACCCTGCAAACCCTCTGATGACCTTTCATGTCCTTCCCCAGCTTGAGTCAACAGGCTCAATTTGAGCCTCATATCTGGCCATCTCTGCCCCATAAATCCTGAGGAGGGAACAGAAGCTTGCTGCGCTCTCAGCCTCGGCTCATAAAACCCAGGGAAGGGCTGCGCCAGCGAAGCACACCTTTCCAGAGTCCCAGCACGTGTCACCCTCACAGATCATGCTCCTGCCTGGCCATCCTGTCTAGAGGGAGGCTGGGGCACTTAGAAAGCAGAATCCAAGGCCAGGCTCGGTGGCTCATACCTCCAATCCCAACGTTTTGAGAGGCTGAGCCAGGCAGATCGCTTGGGTCAGGGAGTTCAAGAACAGCCTAGGCAGCATAGCAAAACCCTGTTCCTACAAAAATAAATTAGCTGGGCATGGTGATTTGGGTGTGTGGTCCCAGCTGCTTGGGAGGTGAGTTGGGAGGACCGCCTGAGGCTGGGAGACGGAGGCTGCAGTGAGCCGAGATCACACCCCTGCGCTTCAGTCTGGGCAGCAGAGCAAGACCCTGTCTCAGAAAAAGCAGAACCCATTTTGCTGCACAGAACAGCACCTCCCAGTTAGCTACCTCCTCCACCCCGACATCCTTGCCAGGTAGAGCGGCGGGAGGCAGAGCCTTCTGTTCCTCCTTGGAGCGCCTTTCTACTTTCGTTTCTAATAATTATTTCTAATCACTCGTGCTTGCCGATCTGGCGGCTCTTGGCAGGCATTAGCTGCGTTTGCTTAACCTTCCTTCCCCTGAGTAGGGGCCCTGGTGGCGAAGGATGAGCCCCGGCCCTGGGTCACGTGTCCCTGTGGCCATCTCAACCCAAGTGATAGGGCTGAGGGCCTGGGGGTCCCTCCCACCTGCGCCTGTGACCAGAGCCATGGGCTGCAGAAAAAGCTTTCGGCTTTCTGGTGCCTTCCTCGGAAGCACAAAGGCCTGAGTTCTTACCTTTTGTGATCCAGTTTAGATGGGAGTTTGCGGGTGGGATCTGTGCGGCGCAGAGCTGAGGCTCGCGTTGTGGGGCTCTGAGCTCTGAGGAGCAGATCTCTGTTGGGGCCACGCGAACGATGCCTGGTCCTCTGAGTCTCCTGGAGCAACCCCCTCACTTTCTGGGGCCTTGTTCTCCCTCCGTAGGACCTTAAGCCAGTTATCGATGGTATGGATGGAATCAAAATCTCTCAGGGGCTCGGGCTGCAGGACTTCGACCTAATCAGAGTCATCGGGCGCGGGAGCTACGCCAAGGTTCTCCTGGTGCGGCTGAAGAAGAACGACCAAATTTACGCCATGAAAGTGGTGAAGAAAGAGCTGGTGCATGATGACGAGGTAGGTGCCACTTCTCACGGGGCACGGGGTCCCAGACTGCTGCCTGGGGTAGGTGCCACTTCTCACGGGGCACGGGGTCCCAGACACGCCACCTGGGGTAGGTGCCACTTCTCACGGGGCACGGGGTCCCAGACGCGCCACCTGGGGTAGGTGCCACTTCTCACGGGGCACGGGGTCCCAGACGCGCCACCTGGGGTAGGTGCCACTTCTCACGGGGCACGGGGTCCCAGACGCGCCACCTGGGGTAGGTGCCACTTCTCACGGGGCACGGGGTCCCAGACGCGCCACCTGGGGTAGGTGCCACTTCTCACGGGGCACGGGGTCCCAGACCACTGCCTGGGGTAGGTGCCGCTTCTCACAGGGCACGGGGTCCCAGACATGCCACCTGGGGTAGGTGCCACTTCTCACGGGGCACGGGGTCCCAGACCGCTGCCTGGGGTAGGTGCCACTTCTCATGGGGCACGGGGTCCCAGACCACTGCCTGGGGTAGGTGCCACTTCTCACGGGGCACGGGGTCCCAGATCACTGCCTGGGGTAGGTGCCACTTTTCGTGGGGCACGGGGTCCTGGACATGCTGCCCTGGGGTAGGTGCCACTTCTGGTGGGGCACGGGGTCCCGGGACACATGCAGCCCCCCGGGGTAGGTGCCACTTCTCACGGGCTTAGGGTCCTGTGCACGCTGCCTGGGGTAGGTGCCACTTCTCATGGGGCTCGGGGTCCCAGGATGTGCCACCCTGGGGTAGATGTCACTTCTCACTGGGCACAGGGTCCCAGGACACACCACCCTGGGGTAGGTGCCACTTCTCATGGGACACGCGCTGCCCTGGGGCCACCTCCTTGGGAAGAGGACAGTCAAAGGCTGTAATGACCACTCTGGGCTTTAGTGGAATTAATCGTGCACGAGAGCCCTAGCCTCATGTTGACGGAGTTTGTGCAAAATCAGTAGTCATGCATTGTGTCGCACCCAGGATGTGTTCTGGCAAGTGCCTGGTTAGGCGACTGCACTGTAGCGTGGACATCACAGTGTGTGCTCCACAAACCTGGACAGCGCAGCCAACTCTGTGGTGGCTGCGAGCCCGTACGGCGGTCAGCGCACTGCACACCGCAGCCACGAGTGGGCACAGCATGTGCGAGCCCGTGCGGCGGTTAGCGCACTGCACACCGCAGCCACGAGTGGGCACAGAGCATGTGTGTGTCTGAGCTTAGAAAGGTGAAGGTGGGGGTCCTGGTCTCCAAGGATGTTGTCACCCTTATTAGGAAATATCTGGGGTTGAGCTGAACTGGGTGGATGATGGGGCGGGACAGGAAGCTGCCCAGCGGCTCTGCCCACTCCGTCCTGCACGAGGCCCCAGCTTCTCGGGATGCGCTGAGCTGCCGTGGCTCTTTATAGCAGACCTTCCCACATCAGCTGTTTCTGGGGGAGATGTTTATTTGTTGAAATCTTTTTTTTCCCCTTGAAACAGGGTCTCACTCTGTCACCCAGGCTGGAGTGACTTGATCACAGCCCACTGTAGCTTCAGACTCCCCAGCTCAAGTGGTCCTCCCACCTTGGCCTCCAGGGGAACCAGGACTGCAGGTGTGCACCACCACTCCTGGCTAGTTTTTGTGGGGTTTTTTTTTTTTTTTTCTGAGATGGAGTCTCACACTGTTGCCCTGGCTGGAGTGCATTGGCGTGAGCTTGGCTCACTGGAAACTCCACCTCCTAGGTTCAAGCAATTCTCCTGCCTCATTACAGGTGCCCACCACCATGCCCAGCTAATTTTTTGTATTTTTAGTAGGGACAGTTTTTTACTATGTTGGCCAGCCTGGTCTCAAACTCCTGAACCGGTGATCTGCCCACCTTGGCCTTGCAAATTGCTGGGATTACAAGTGTGAGCACCGCACCCGGCCTATTTTTGTGTTTTTTGTAGAGTTGGGGTTCCGCTGTTGCCCAGGCTGGTCTCAAACTCCTGTGCTCATGCACTCTGCTGGCCTTGGCCTCCCAGAGTGCTGGAATTAACAGGCATGAGCCACTGCTCCTGGCGTATTCTTTGAAATCTTAATTCCGACTTCATAGACCTTTTTCTTTTAATTATAGTAAAATACACATGACATAGAAATTGCCATTTAAAAATGTATAGTTACGCCCGGGCATAGTGGTGCACGCCTGTAATCCCAACACTTGTTGGGGCTGAGACGGGTGGATCATTTGAGGTCAGGAGTTCAAGATCAGCCTGACCAATATGATGAAACCCCAACTCCACTAAAAACACAAAAATTCACCAGGCGTGGTGGCGCACACTTGTAATTCCAGCTACTCAGAGGCTGAGACAGGAGAATCTCTTGAACCCGGGAGGTGGAGGTTGCAGTGAGCTGAGATCACGCCACTGCACTCCAGCCTGGATGACAGAATGAGACTCTTGTCTTAAAAAAATAAAGAAATAAAATAAAGAAATAGAGTGTGCAGTTAGGTGGCTTTTCGAACGTTGGGTATGGTGTTAGGCACCTATCACCTTGGGCTGATTGCAGAACGTTTCCCTCACCCCAAAAGAAGACCCCCTCCCCACTCCCAGCTTCCCCTCTTCGTCAGCTCCGGTGACCTCCGATCAGCCTTCTTCCTCTGCAGACTTCCCACTTCTGCGCAATTTACAGAACGGAGTCTCTGTGAGCTTGGTGTCTGGCTTCTTCAGGGGCCACCCGCATGGCCACCCGCCTCAGGCCTTCCTCCCTGCCTGGCGGGTAATGTCCCGCTGGACGGTGGGCACTCCGCCCGCCTCAGGCCTTCCTCTGCCTGGCGGGTAATATCCCACTGGATGGTGGGCACTCCGCCCGCCTCAGGCCTTCCTCTGCCTGGCGGGTAATGTCCCACTCAATGGTGGGCACTCCGCCCGCCTCAGGCCTTCCTCCCTGCCTGGCGGGTAATGTCCCACTGGACGGTGGGCGCTCCGCCCGCCTCAGGCCTTCCTCTGCCTGGCGGGTAATGTCCCGCTGGACGGTGGGCACTCTGCCTGGCGGGTAATGTTGTCCCGCTGGACGGTGCGTACCCCACGTGTGTGCGTGCAGCTGCTGAGGCGCATTTGCAGCGTCCACACTCTTGGCCGTTGTGAGCGGTGCTGCTGCAAAGTTCACATACAAGAATCCGTTTGAGTCTATTTCTGGTTCTATCCAGTGCAGACCTAGCAGTGGAGTTGCTTGGTTGCGTGGTAATTCTGTGTTCAACCAGTGGGGACTTGCCAGGCTGTCTCCCACACAGCTGTGCCACGTCACCTCCCCGCCAGTGGCACACGGCGTGTTTCTGCAGGTCCTCAGCAACACGTGTCACTTTGATGATTGCCATCCTTTTTTTTTTTTTTTTTTTTTTTGAGACGGAGTTTTGCCCTTGTTACCCAGGCTGGAGTGCAATGGCACGATCTCGGCTCACCGCAACCTCCGCCTCCTGGGCTCAGGCAATTCTCCTGCCTCAGCCTCCTGAGTAGCTGGGATTACAGGCACGTGCCACCATGCCCAGCTAATTTTTTGCACTTTTAGTAGAGACGGGGTTTCACCATGTTGACCAGGATGGTCTCGATCTCTCGACCTCGTGATCCACCCGCCTCGGCCTCCCAAAGTTCTGGGATTACAGGCTTGAGCCACCGCGCCCGGCGCGATGATCGCCATCCTAACGAGCGTGCAGCTGGGGCTTTGACTGGCGTTTCTCTGACGGTTTCACCGTCTTCATGGACTTGGCTTCTTGTATTTTTGGCTTCACTTTTATAGCTGAATGCAGGTTGTGTCTTTCAGGAGCAGACAAAGGGCCAGTGTGTGGGTGGCAGGAATGCATTGTCACCAAGTGCTGCCAGCACAGAGGGCAGCTGGGTGGGTGCTTATCCAGCCCCCATGGGCCACAGAGGGGCTCCCTCCCCACCAGCCAGGCTTGGGGCTGGGGCTGGGGCTGGGGCTGGGCCTCTGCTCGCCCTCCCAGCAGGCCACATGTGTGTAGTGCACAGGCTGTCCAGCGGCCCCTCATTCCTGGATGCTGAGCTCACAAGCGGGCACCAGCATCCATGCCATGCACGGAGGAACGGAGGCCTGAGAGGTGTGGTGCCCTGCTGACAGCCCTGCTGCTGGCCAGCGGCGGCACAAGACGATTCCCAGCCGCTTCGCAGCCCACCCCAGCCCACTGGAACGTGAACGGGAAGTCTGAGAGGAGCAAGTGAGCGGGAGCTGACGAGGCGTTTGGAAGAGGCCCTGCTGCGGCTTTGTCCTGCCTTGAAATCGTCCCCTGTGCACCAGGATGCGGAGATGGGGACCCGGGTTCTCTTTCGAGACGAGCCCGATTCCAGGAGTTGTTGAATGCCTGGATGGTTGGTTCTAGAAATTTCTTTCTCCCCACAAAGACACTGCACTCTCTGGGGCCAGGCCTGCCTCTTGTTCCCCGGGGAGTCGCTGGCAAGCCCCTTCCCACCAGTTGCGCTCCGCCGGCCCCACACAGAGCCGGGTGTGCCTTGAACTCGGCAGCGCTGCCTCCAGGAGGGTCCACTCAGTTTTGCTGAGGGCTGTGAGGGTCTTCATGCCAACACTCGCATCCCTGCAGGCCCACAGTGGGTGGGTGCTGCCGGTGAGGGCTGTTGCGGGAGGGGTGGAAGAGTCGCAGCCAACCCACCAGGTTTTCAGCCCCTGGAGGTGGGAGGAGCAATGGAGCCCCGGAGGTCGAGGCTGCAGTGAGCAGTGATCGCTGTGCGACCCGCAGAGACCCTTCCCAAAGCAAATGAGAGCGAGGAGTTGTTAAGCCGAGTCCAGGTTTATTGGGGTTTGCGGGCAACTCGAGCGGGAGAGGGAAGAGCTGCACCCAGCAGCTGCCGGAGAGGGTTTTTATAGGGAGGGGGGCCCGCGTAGGTGGGGTGTCGTGGAGTGATTGGTGGAGGTTGGACATGGGCGGAGTGGGAATATCGTGGTGTGCAAGGGTTGGGTTAGCTTTGGCGGGCTAAAGTGAGGAGATGATTGGTGGAGGCTAAACAAAGAAGAGGGAAGAGCCCTGTGGCTAGGTTTTGGCGGGCTGCTGTCGGGGCGTGTCCGGGTTTTGGCGGGCTGACACGGGAAAGCGATTGGCTAGTCCTGTTGCTGGGCAGACCAACCTCCAGAGGCGGCCTGCTGGATGTGGGCCCCGGATATGGGGATGGGCTACTTTTACCTAACAATCGCACCCCTGCACTCGAGCCGGCTCAGGTGGGAGGATCCCCGGAGCCCCAGAGGTCGAGGCTTCAGTAAGCAGTGATCGCACCCCTGCACTCCAGCCTATTTTGGACGCATCTTTTTCATTGTCATTTTTCTAACCCTGAAGATGAGACAAGGGGTTGACCTAGGAGGGCTTGGGAGCCTTACTTCCTGGGGTCAAGATGAGACCAAGCTGTAGGACCTTCGTGACCTTGCAGCATTTTGCCGAACTCCAGAGTGAATTGGGAGGGTGACAGCCCTGTGGTTAGAGCCGGTGCTTTGGTGATGGGTGTGGGCTTGTCCCAGGCCTCGTAGTAGCTGTGGGACCTGGTAGAATCTGCTTAGCCCTCCACCGCAGTTTCTTTGTGTCCCAGCTGGAAATCATACCTGCCTCCCAGAACTGTTAGCGCAAAGCCCGGAGGCCAGAGGCCAGCACACCAGCAGAGCTGGTGGCTTTGGTGATCGTGGTGGAGATGGTGGTGGTGATGATGGTGATTGTGGTGATGACGGTGGTGATGGTGGTAGTGTTGACAGTGATGGCAGCGGTGGTAACGGTGGTGAACGTGATGGTGACAGCGACGGTGGTGGTAGGGGTGGAGGTGGAGTGGATGGTGACATTGGTGATGGTCGTGGTGATGACTGACGATGTTGAAGATGGTGATGACAGTGATGATGGCGGTGGTGGTGAAGGTGATGGTAACAACAATGATGGTGGTGGGGGAGGTGTGGGTAAATGGTGACAGTGTTGATGACGGTGATGGTAACAGTGACTGATGGTGGTGGGAATGGATGGTGACATTCATGACAGTGGTGATGGCAGTGGTGAAGGTGATGGTGACGGTGACCACTGTGATGGTGGGGGTAGAGGTGGGGTGGATGGTGATGATGGTGATGGTGGTGGTGATGGTGACAGCCACAGTGATGATGGTGGTGTGGGGGTTAGAGGTGGGGTGGATGGTGATGGTGGTGATGGTGGTGGTGATGGTGACAGCCACAGTGATGATGGTGGTATGGGGGTTAGAGGTGGGGTGGATGGTGACGGTGACGGTGATGGTGATGGTGACAGCCACAGTGATGATGGTGGTGTGGGGGTAGAGGTGGGGTGGATGGTGATGGTGATGGTGGTGGTGATGGTGACAGCCACAGTGATGATGGTGGTGTGGGGGTAGAGGTGGGGTGGATGGTGATGGTGATGGTGGTGGTGATGGTGACAGCCACAGTGATGATGGTGGTGTGGGGGTTAGAGGTGGGGTGGATGGTGATGGTGGTGATGGTGGTGGTGATGGTGACAGCCACAGTGATGATGGTGGTATGGGGGTTAGAGGTGGGGTGGATGGTGACGGTGATGGTGATGGTGACAGCCACAGTGATGATGGTGGTGTGGGGGTAGGGGTGGATGGTGATGGTGATGGTGGTGGTGGTGGTGATGGTGACAGCCACAGTGATGATGGTGGTGTGGGGGTTAGAGGTGGGGTGAATGGTGACGGTGATGGTGGTGGTGATGGTGACAGCCACAGTGATGATGGTGGTGTGGGGGTTAGAGGTGGGGTGGATGGTGACGGTGATGGTGGTGGTGATGGTGACAGCCACAGTGATGATGGTGGTGTGGGGGTTAGAGGTGGGGTGGATGGTGACGGTGATGGTGGTGGTGATGGTGACAGCCGCAGTGATGATGGTGGTGTGTGGGTTAGAGGTGGGGTAGATGGTGACAGTGGTGATCACGGTGACGGTGATGGTGGTGGTGATGGTGACAGCCACAGGATGATGGTGGTGTGGGTGGAGGTGGGGTGGATGGTGACTTTGATGGTGATGCAGTTCCTAATGGGCACTTTTTTTCCTCTCTGCATTGTCTTCCCGAAAGCAGAGGGGAGAGACTCCTCGCTTGCCTCCCCTGTGTCCAGGGTGCCTGTGAAGAGCGTCCAGGAGCCTCATTACCACTCTCTGGTTTCTGTTTCAGGATATCGACTGGGTACAGACAGAGAAGCACGTGTTTGAGCAGGCATCCAGCAACCCCTTCCTGGTCGGGCTACACTCCTGCTTCCAGACCACCAGTCGGTAAGAAAAAGAGGGGTGTTTCTGATATTCTGCGGATTTCAGATTGGAACTGCACGGAAGCCGAGTCTGGTGTGACATGGCACATGTCACCTCTGAGGTTCTCCCTGTGGCTGTATGGGTGTTTTTAGGTCAGCAGGCTCTCTTTGTTGTTCTCCGTGGTTGGTGTCATGTGAAGTAAATTTCGTGATCTGAACTTAGGTTATCCCACCGAGTGCCGACACTGGATCAGGTGCCGGGGCTACGAAGGTAGCGAGAGAGGTGGATTTCCATGCTTCTCAAGTGTGGTCAGCTTCACCTTCAACCTTACACGTGTTGGAATTCTGTGGCTTGGAAAACGTTTGAAAGCTAGTGCTCTGAGATACTAAATGTATACTTTGTTTAGCATTTGGGGGACCAGTACCTGCTCTGTTTATTTGAAGAGTCATTGACTGTGTTCTGCGTTAAGTCATCAAGACCATCCCCACGTGCAATGGTGTGCTGGGAGGGCTCCTGGGATTAGTCACGTGGTCGCGCTTGGGTCCACAGCTGGTGCCCTGCACAGGAGGGATAAAGGAGACTTGGCCAAGGGAAAAGGCGCACAGGGAAAATTCCAGAAGAAACCAGTCCAAGTACGTACCAAGAGCCCTCCCGCGGTTCGTCCAGCAACGAATTGTGATGACTCAGGGTTTTTGTCGAGGGCTTGTCTTGCAGACACTTGCTATCTGACACAAAGCAAGATTCCAGACTCCTAGCCGGAGAGCAGGTGGTCAGCATTGTGTTAGTCAGGGTTCTGCTGAGAAACAGAAACAGTAGTGTGTGCGTGTGCGTGCGTACGTGTGCACATGTGTGTGCGCGTGTGTGTGCATGCGTGCGTGTGCGTGCGTGTGAAGAGATTTATTAGAAGATATTGGCTCATGGGATTATAGAGGCTGAGAAATCCACAATCCACCATCTGCAGGCTGGAGGCCCAGGAGAGCCTGTGGCGCAGCTTGAAGGCCTAAGAGCCAGGAGCCGATGGGGTGGATTCCAGTGTGGGTCTGAAGGCCTCAGAGCCGGGTGCAAGGGGCCCCGAAGGTGGACAGCTCAGTAGTCAGGGAAACGCGGCCTCGCTCCCCTTTCTCTTTCTCTTCATGCCCCCAGGGGACTGGACGATGCCCATCTGCTTTACTCAGTCTACAGACTCTTCCAGAAGCACCTTCACAGGCACACCCAGAAATCACGTGCGGCCAGCTGTTGGGCATCCATGTCCAGTCAGGGACCGCAGAATTCACATTCACAAGCACAAGGCATCCTGTTCACGCACACACAGTTTGGGCGCAGTGATTGGCTCTTATTCCAAAGCTTTTTAACGTGTTTCTGTTGTTGATTTTGAGACAGAGTCTCGCTCTGTCACCCAGGCTGGAGGACAGTGGCACCATCTCAGCTCACTGCTGTCACCACCTCTGTGGTTCAATGATTCTCCTGCCTCAGCCTCCCAAGTAGCTGGGAATTATAGGCACCCTCCACCATGGCTGGCTAATTTTTGTATTTTTAGCAGAGACTATGTTGGCCAGGCCAGTCTTAAACTCCTGACCTCAAGTCATCTGCCCTCTGGGGCCTCCCGAAGTGCTGGGATTATAGGCATGAGCCACAATGCCCAGCCCCCAAAGCTTTTTTTTTAGGTAAAGATGGGTCCTGCTATGTTGCCCAGGGTGGTCTCAAACTCCTGGGCTCCTGCCTCAGCCTCCCAAAGTGCTGGGATTGCAGGTGTGCACCACTGTGCCTGGCCGTTATACAGAAGCGTTTTATGTCGGTATAGGGCATAGCTTGCAGTTCACGCTCCCACCCCTAGCTCTGGGCCAGCTTTTCGGGTGGGGCTCCCTGAGCACAGCGGTCCCAGGCCCTGGATGCAACCCTCTGCTGCCCGGTTCTGATCTGTACGCCTGGCATCTTGTGCCTCTCCACTGCACTCTCGGCACTCCTGACCTCAGGGCCCTGTTCCTGCCTCTGCTCAGCTGCCACCTGTCTGTCCCACGAGCTGGTGTGACCTGGCTGTCCCCACCCTGCCCCGCCTGCTGTGCCTCCCTGGTCGGGTTCTCTTCTCACTACTTCCGCAGCCTCAGTATGTTTCAGGGTCCCCCCGCCCCACAACCCGACCCCAGGGCTCTCCACTGTTGGCTTCCCCATGTTGGATCTGGGCCATATGTGAAAAACAGAGATCTGAGCGCCTTTCTCCTGCCTCATATGTGAAAAGCAGATCTGAGCGCCTTTCTCCTGCCTCAAAGCTCCTCACACTTCCTCCCCTCTTACTTCTGGGGTAAATTCCAAGTTTCTTATGCATGTAGATGAGGCTTGTGGTGACCAGGCCCCAGTGTCCCGTGCCCCAGTGTGTGCTCCGGCATGGCACCCCCGCCCACGCTGCCTGTGCCTGATGGCTCTGTCCCCTTTCCTCCCACACCCTCTTTCCCAGAGAGAGTCAGTGGCTCCCTTTGTGCGCTCCCATCACACTTTCCAGGCCTGTGTCCTCGGTGACAGCCATCCATTGTGATTTTGGAATACGCCCGGGGAAGGCGGCCGGGTGCCCCCGCTTCCTGAATGGGAAGGTTCCGAGAAGGGTGTGTTTCGCTTCGGTTCCTCTTCCTGTGTGAACGTGTAGGGAAGCAGATGTAAAGGGGTCCGATATCCCACCCTCACTTCCACCCAAGTGGCCCAAAGCGCAGCCCCTTCTGCACTTGAGTCTGGAATCTTCTCCCAAGTCACAGGTTCCCAGGTCCATAAACTCAAACTGAAAGAATTGCCACCTGTGGGGTGTCTGCATGGGACCCCCGCAGCAGCACGACTCACTGTCCTCTGGCAACATGTGGCATGCACAGTTGGGAGGCCACATCCCGGGAGTCATTCCTACACATGTCTAGTTGTTTTGCCTTTTTTTCTTTGTTTAAAACGGAATCTTTCAGTGACTTCCAGAGTATCTGACACATGGTTGGTCAGGGTAGCCTGTCTCTCCCCAGCTGTTAGGAATCGGCTTTAACCCCAAAGTGAGCTATAGACCTGTCTCCTTCACAAGAAGCGAACTCCTGAAGAGTGGGACCCTGCTGTCTGTTCTCTAGTCCCCAGCATTTGACACCTGACACTTAGTGGCAGTGGTGTTAGATGACAGTCTCTTAAAAAGAAATTAAAAAGTGAGATCATCATTTCTCATACAAATAGAACATGGACATGTGTCAGATTGTATGTAACTCTCTAGTGAACTAGGAGACTAGTGAGATGTTATAGCCGCTCAAAGGGGTCTTCGGAGTCCGCACAGACACAGGTGATCGGCCGAGCCACAGAGAGAAGCGGAGCCACGGAAGAGACGCGGAGGAGCCACGGAGAGACATGGAGCTGGCTGGGGCCGGGGGGAAACGGCCTCACTTGCTCGTCTGTGTTACTTGCACGGCTGTCGGTTGTGTGTGCCTTCCAGTTGGGAAATACCTGAGAGACTCCTGCGGAGAGACCCCTGCGGACCCCACAGAAACAGACACCTGAGAAGAGTGTGTCCCCGACAGCTCCAAAGCCTCTTGCAGTGTTTCCTGACGGCAACACAGCTGAGGTCCCGGTGCACGTGCCTGTCAGCTCTGCGGCCCCTCACCTCGGGACCCTTGGCACCCCCATTTCCTCCCTGGAAACAGAGAGCAGGTGCGCCTTCCCCATACAGCTGCTGTGGGAATTGGTAAAGCGGGGACCCAACTGTCGACAGCAAGGCAGGTGCGTGGGGACCCGCTCCCTCGTCGTGGGGGCCTTTCTTCTGGTTGGCACCATGTGTTTGAATGGACAGACCAGTAGTGTTGAGTGTGAGCTCTGGGTTAGGGGGTAGGACGGGCCGCTGCCTGAGTCAGATGCTGGGGGGCTATGAAAACTCCCGCAAATCCTCACCGACTGCACAGCTCCGGACACCACCTGATGTTCACCGGAACATCCAGCTGAGGTTTTGCTTGGGCCCCTGGCTGAGGGCCAGGTGAACGACACGCTGGACAGGACACACATTCATTCTGGGCGGCCTCACGGCTCCTGGGCCACGTCGGGGGAAACCTGGGGAATGAAACTGCGAGGGCTTCCACCCAAGCTTGCCCCTCACAAAGGGTCTCCGAGTGGGAGAAGGTCAGAATTGCAGTCTCTGTGCGGCGGGCCACAACTGTAATCCCAGCACTTTGGAGGCCGAGGTGGGCGGATCACAAGGTCAAGAGATCGAGACCATTCTGGCCAACGTGGTGCCCTGTCTCTACTAAAAATACAAAAATTAGCCAGGCATGGTGGTGCACGCCTGTAGTCCAGGTACGCGGGCAGCTGAGGCAGGAGAATCACTTGAACCCGGAGGCAGAAGTTGCAGTGAGCCAAGATAGCGACAACTGTACTCCAGCCTGGGCAACAACGTGAGACTGTCTCAAAAAAAAAGTCAGAATTGCTTCGTTTTTGCCCCAAATCTGGTCGTGCCCCATCCGGCCGGCCATGTTCACGTCCGCTGGGTGGCTGCAGAGTCTCTCTGAACGTCACAGCTCAACATGACTCTCACCTCGTGTACAGTTGGAGAGAAACATTTGCATTTGAAGACACAGTAAACATCAGCTTGATGGGCACCATGGCCCATATCCACACAGGCGGCCCTGCTTTTCCAAACAGCAGTGGGATTAAACGAGCCTTCAAGTCTCCAAGACCTGAAATCCCTTCAGTTGAAGCTATTTCAGGAGAACTGAGTAACTAGAGGTTTAGCTGAAGTTGCTACTCTGCGTCCCCCGCCCCATTAAACTGGAGTCTGAGGACACTTTTCTCACTAAAGCACGATGATCTCAGATGGTAGGTGAGCAAACTACCCTAAAATATGCCCGTTCACTCACTGTTCTAAAATAAAACCTCTTACTGTTTGCCACGGTTGATTATTTTACATTCATTCACCCACAGAATGTGTTTCTTTAAAAAGAACAAACACACAGCTTGCTTATCTGTGGACGTGCTTCCCAGGCCGTCAACTGACTTAGACACTCGAGTGAGTTCTTCTTGGTCAG